CGAATCCGCGGCCAGCGATTTGGCCCTTGGTTCTCTTGCGCATTTGCTCGATAAGGAATATGCTGCGCATGGTGGCTTGCATCTGTTGTACGTCGAAAGATGGGTCACGGGAAACCATCATCTTGATGTCCTTGTAGTCCTCGGAGAAACCTTGCACACAGATGTCCTTGAAGCGGCGATCGGAGATTGTTTCCCCCATTTTCTCTAGTTGAGAGCGGAGGCGGTGTTTCTTGTTGAAAAAATCGTCCGGGTTCTCTTCTGGCTCCATGAATGTCCTTTCCAGGTCGTCCAGTTTAGCCCTGGTGACTTCATCTGTCACTCGATTGTAATTAATTGGCCTTCAGTTCCGCGAATGCTGCCTGTCCGTCGCCGCTGAGGCCGGTTCCGTCTTCAAGCTTGTGTACGGTTATTGCAGCCGGCAGTTCGACAAGGCAGAATAGGCTTGCGTAGATGTCTCGTTTGCTCTCTCGTATGCGGCGAAGGGGGTGTCCGAGGGATCAGGCCTGCGAATTCCCTTGGGAAGTGGCATGATGTCCCTCCGAGTAACGCCGACGACCACACCCAATTTCTTCATCCAGTCGTTGAAGTCCTCTGGTTTCGTTCCATCGAACTTGGGGATTCCTCTGATGACGTTGGCCAGGTTTGTGGATCCATCACTCCAAATGCTGCCTCCGCCTCCAGTTCCCGATGTTGCTTCCATTTCTGGTTTTATCCTGATGATCTCGTCTTGAATATTTTTGTTGGTGTATTACTCAGCTATCTGTCTCTGAGATTCCAGCCCCGCTCCTATTGATGTAGACTAGACTAGAGGACGCCGGTTGCCGATTCGTGACCCCGCTTCTGAAACCCTTTTCTCAGATAGAGAATTGGTGAATAGAACTCTGGTTGTAGACCAATTTGCGACCCCGCTCCTGATACCCTTTCCTCCGTAGATAGAGAATCGGTGAATAGAACTACGGTTCCCGGTCGACTCTCGCTGTTGATACAGTCTTCCCTCCTGTATCTGCCGCAGTATTTGCTCGATGTCTAAATCGAGGCTTCCCGCGGAACACTGTTTGTTCACCACAGAGGTACCCACTACTGTTGCAGCAGTGGTAACGTGTGTGTATAATGAACTCTCAGCCCCTCGGTGTAGATGACCAAGTAGTGCGCTCACTTTTGTTTCCGCTGACCGTTGATGATGTCCCAAGTCTCCGAATCCAGATTTCCGCTCGAGGTCCACCGACAGATATTGCAGTCCACAGAGTAGGATGTCTTGACCTCCGTCGTGATGTCCGCAGCTCCTAGTGTTCGCGTAAAGCGAGGCTCATAACCTCATAAAATGTGGCGTTCTGCAGCAGCGCAGGTGGCGGTGCTGCTGTAGCTCGTAGACTTTGTATTCTACCACAGAGACTAGACTGCTGTCACCGCGGTGCTGCTTTAGCTCGTAGACTTCGTAGTCTATCACAGAGGTTACACTGCTGTGAGAGCGGTCGGCCCGAGCCAGCTTCGGAAAGAGAAATGTGGATAAAAAAGATGTTCTTATCAACTGACTCCCTGGTCAGGCTTTGATGGGTGCTAGAACAAGGGACGAAGGCGCGCTTGTGTCTCAGCTCAACAACAAAAACAAAACACACGCAGCAAAGACAACAGGTTCCGAGGATCTCCGGGGCATTGGCCCGAGTACCGGAATTTCGGGGTTCGGAATAATAAAACGACTACAGTNCGGCCCGAGCCAGCTTCGGAAAGAGAAATGTGGATAAAAAAGATGTTCTTATCAACTGACTCCCTGGTCAGGCTTTGATGGGTGCTAGATGAGAGTGAGCACAAGGGGCGAAGGCGCGCTTGTGTCTCATCTCAACAACAAAACAAAAACAAAAAACAAGCAGCAAAAACACAGCAGGTTCCGAGGGTCTCCGGAGTAATGGCCCGAGTACCGGAATTTCGGGGTTCGGAACAATAAAACAACTACAGTCTCGCCTGCCAAATTATCTCCGCTACAACTCTGTGCTCATGTTCTCTGCTGAGTACCATCTCTTCTTTCTGTATTATGTCTATGGAAGGCTAGTTGCCGCAGTCGCACCTATGGTAAACTGTGCCTGACTACGTTGTAACAGTTTTCCTCGACAACTCGGTGTGATGATCTTCGGATCTCCAACTCACAGACTGACAGGATTTCACATACTACTGGTAGGTGCGTTTCTGCCTCCCAAGCCTTTCCCTACCGACTTGTGTGATGTCGATGCGTGTACGATGTTATCGCACTACTGTACATGCATTGCGACTAATGCGACAATCATTGTCGGCGTCGTCTGTCTGAAGCTGATACCATATGTGTTTTGGCGAGTTCTGCAGGCTGATGGTGTGTGTTGTCGACAGATCACGACCCGACGGCGGATTGAACCGTAAGACGAATCAACAGCTGCTCGTGGAACAACCGCAAAGACACACCGTGCAACACAACAATGGCAATCTACCGCGGGCTCTTATCTGTGGGAGAGAAAGGGTGTGGTGCCACGTTGTTGTGACATTGTCAACCCTCGTCCCGTTCGCTGCTCAGTCAATCAGTCACAAACCTTCTACATAACCGTTGCCCACAAGTACGAAATAACACACCTTCTCTGCTGATGATATTTTTTGGTTTACTTTGCACAGATATTTGATGTTTCACTACATTATTGATATAGACTGTCACAACGAATGAATCCATCTGAATCCCCAGCTGAGATTCGACATTTCAAAGCATTGACCACTCTCATTTGCTTCTCGACCAACACCAGGAAAAATCGAATCTCGCGGTCGGCGTGGCAGCAACCACGGCATCATGTTCTTTTCAGGGGTGGTTTACAGTACTAATGAAAATGTGTTTATGTCTAGTGAGTTACCAACGCGACCGAGCATAGAGCCGACCAGTCATGATACGGCGAAAGCGCATACGGTGCGTCTATGCCCTTGCCATGCTGCATACGACAAGTGTGCCACCAGGTGTGACCATGCGCGTTGTTTCTCTCCTCCTAGCTTGTTCGCTATATTCCTGTCTCTGTCGCTCAGTTTCCGTCATCTTGTTGAAAAGCGAACCGGTCAAGAGGACCAAACAGTGAGCATGGCCGTAAACTTCTGGCGCAACATGCAGCTTGCCTACTTGTCGACCCGCCGTATGTGCACTCGTCGTATTATGGTTGTTGGCACGATCTCGCGTTGGAACTCACTCGACCCACACGCACTTTCATATACTGGACGACCGCTTAAAATATACGTTGTGCCGCTGAGGTGCTCCAAGAAAGGCTTTCAGATCCGATTGTTGCCGACATTGTTGTTCGAGGAGTCAACAAGAGCGATCGAAACAGGAAGAGATAGAGGGCGAACCGGTCGAGAGGGCCGAAACAGCGCGCATTGTGGGCATACTTGTGGCGCAACATGTCGCGAGACGTGCGCTATAGGTTAACATCGGCCTTTGATATACAGTCGGGCAAAGATGGGGGATTCGGAACAACACTCCGACAGAAACGAACTAAGGTCGGAGCGACTGAAGCTTCAGCTAAAAATATAGGAGCAAAGTGAGATTCAATTGTCCCAAGTTCGTCCAGGGGGGCTGAAAGCCCCAGCGGCCGACAACCCTGAGATTTCGCTTTCCGGAATGCTTAGCAGCAATAGGACAAGTGATATTCATCTGTCGGAAATCACTCTAAAAAAATCAATAGGAAACACGAGAATCACTTATCCGAAATTTATTGAGCGAATATGGCAGAAAGCCACACCGACGAACTCGATATTCATATTGTGTATGCCGACAATATTTCAGGACTCCGTGGAAGGCGAGAGATTCAATTTTTTCCGAGATGGCTCCAAAAATTAAAACAAGAGTGATAGCAACGACGGCAAAGTGGTAACGACAAGGAAATACATGGTCGAACACGTGTTGTGTCTGCCACTGGGCGCTGACGAGGGTGGACTTCGGCGAGGGGGCATGGCTCGCGATGTGCTTTATCGAGGCATACCTAGGATATCGCGAAGCGTGCGCCTTAGGTCGACATCCGTCTGTTGACTTGAATCTTCCGAACGGAGCGATAACGACAACAAGACGGCAAACAAGTGAAGACGGGAGAGAAACAGCGCGCACACTTGTGACGTACGCTACTGCACGCGGAAGTCAATCACACTTGATGACTGGTCATGATTTGGGATGCCTATCGATGCATACTCGAGATGACGACGGCCGTGCGCCATGGGTCGACGTCGGCGGTCGGGTAAGAGTTGGGGGAATTGGAGTAAGTGGATGACAAAAATGATTTCAGGTCGGAGACGCTGACGCTCACAGCTTCAAAATCATGCTTACAGGTTCTTGTCTAGATGGTCTCGCGCAGAAGCGGAATGACCCAAGTTCCTTCACAATTCAACATATAGAGTTATGTAGAGACATGAGCGAGGTAGAAACACCTACTTGAGAAACACCTCGCGCGTCAAGTCCGTGATATAGACTTGCTAAAGCACGCACGCAGCCCCCCGGAGGCCCCGAGAATCAATATGGGGTCTAGCTCCCTCAAACAGATTTCAGATACCCCCGGGAAAACTCGCCTCCATCAACATGAACGCGTGTGAGCAGCAATTCGCAACTACAATGAAGTTGCCTAATTGCCCGAACACAAAGTACAATATATGGATAGTTTCAGTTCATCGCCAACAACGATAGGTCGTTGCGGCAAATAGTGTACGAACGATGCCGCCCCCCTGAATACCCAACGCTTTAGTGCTTGTGCTTCCATATAATGTACGGTAGAATCAAAACCCCAACAACCTATTGTACAGAGTGTATCACACAAGCTTCTCGTTGGTGGTTCTGCTAGCACACACCCTCGTCGGTGTAGTCAATGCAAAAATCTGATGCGACAAGGGCCGAAGGAAAAACCGGCACATGGCCATGTTGTAACGTAGAAGGCAGTTGGGACGCAACTCATGTCTTGCTCCCCAAATCCGTCGGCATCACGTCGATTGCGCATAAAGCTTTTTCTGGGCTTCCTATATTAACCAACCTTCTTTTCCTCTCCATCAGGATTCGTCGTCTGCTCCTTCTCCTTCTTCAAATCTGCCCTCAATTGAAAGAAGAGGACAACCGTCTCGACAACGATCGCCATGATCATGAGCGCATGAACGGCCACGAGAACGACCTCGAACACCCTTTGGCTAGCGGCGTGTTCGTCGGAAACGTTCACCTTCAGCAGGAGCGCGAGAAACATGCTCGAGAAGACACCAATGTGCCCCATGCGATTGATCCAACGATCCCACCCGGATTTGTACGGGTTCAAGGCTTCAGAAATGACGACAAACGCGAAGGCGAAAATCAACGTCACCGCGATCTGCGCCGCCGTGTTGGGATAGATGAAGACGATGAAGCCTGCTAGGAGGACCCGCCGGCCGCAATCGATCACCTCGTAGTAGAACGCCCACCGATTGTACGGCTCCCACAGGTCGGCGATGGAGGTGACGCGCGGGGGGTCATCTCGTCGTTTGGATGTGTCCTCCTTCAACACGTCGCGATCCCTGAAGAGAAGGCCGGCGTAGAGAGCCGGGATTCCCACCGTGTATAGGAGAATCATGAAGACGGCGTACACCTGGAAGCTCTTGTGCTTGGAGGAGTCGCACTCGATGCGGTAGTCTGACCTGAGGTAAATCTTGCGGTCGGCTAGTTCCTCGCAGGCGAAGGGTCTGAACAGGATGACACTTACGCTCGAGTAGACGAAGAAAGTTAGCAGGAGCACCATCGACGCATGCTTGTGCGGAACTGTTTGGAGTTTGTCTGGCTTTCGCCGGTAGAGACAGCGGGCCCTAAAGTAGGTGCATGCCAAAAACAGCAGGGCCGCGATAGGGCTAATCGTGGAAACCAGCAGTCTGTCGTGGAAGTCCATATTGATGGTGCAGCAAACCGACAGAGCCCAGCCGAGTTTAGAGTTGAAGATGTCAAGGACTCCAAGGAAGTCTTCGTACACGTCGGGGTAGGTGACGTTAGCGATGGCCGTGAACTGTTGCACAAGGTCAGGCGGACGAAACGTGGGTGGAAGACGGGTTAATATGAGCCCATGGCCCGTGGGCGGATTTTTGTTCCAAAATACAACGCTTTGCACGAGTCACGTCGCACGAGGCTGCCGTATGTCCTAGAACTGATTGTGAGTCTTGATACGTTGGGGACAGTGTGTAGTGCGATCGTTTCGCGGCGGAAGTACAGCGAGAGAAAATTGTCCCGAACAAGTGACCGCTGATAGGTGCGATGAAACCTTTCCAGAGCTACGTATTCAGTTGTACAAAGAAGGCGGAAAGATGCCGGATGACCTCTTCACGCTTGGTGGAATGTCCACGGACACCCAGTGCAGACTAGACGTGCGCAACACACCCATGGGGGCAGAACCCGCTGGTACGTCGGAAATGCTCCGTGTCATACCTGTGTCAAGATTTACCAGGCCGCGATCACAATCTTCACGGACTGGAGAGGTATGTACCGCGTCACCCGCTCGATCCATCCACGTCCCATGCCCGTGCCGGTCTCCCCCGACGTGACGTACGAGTATGTGGCAGCGAGGACGATCAAGGCCCCGACAGCGAGGACGACCAAAATCGTGATGCCGCCCTTGATGTTCTCGGGGCACTTCCTGCACTCAAAACCCAGTTGCCCGGAATAACCGTCGCTGCACACACTGCAGTCCGCGTATCAAAGGGATCAATCAAAAACGCGAGGAAAGCATGAGTTCACCGAGCGAGGAAACCGGAGGACCAACATCGGATTCTCGAGGAAAATCCCTGGTTTTGTGAGAGGGGAATCGTCCTCGACGGATGCATTGGGGAGATGGGGCCCTGCCGAAGAGGCCACCTCCACATCACCCGTCTTTTGTTTACTACATAGAAGTGGAAGACTTCAAGGGTGATTGGCACCTGACCGACCGGCTGGTGGCGAATCACTTCACTTGTTCACAATCTTGGGCCCGTATTTTCACGGGTGCGCTACGTCCGCAACATCACCAGAGGTTCCATCGCTTGGAGCACATTTGCTGTTGACCCCACCGTTGGCAGCATTCATTGGTAGATGGCGGGATTTCATTCCGGTCACCTTCCACCGAAATCAAGCATCTCGACACGACGCCTGACGCAAACGATGGCCATATCCACACTTTATCAACGGTTTGAAGATAAATTTACTTCCCGAGAGGGAAGAGACCCGCCGTTCGCGCGGACATTGGTTATACCATCCCAATGATTCGCCGGCAGGGTGTTGGAACATTGGCATGAACCGCCCGGAAGCAAGCGCAAACCAATCATCGCAAACACAATCCGCCCTCGTTTGAAACCCCGAAGTGCGAGGTGCGGCTGCGGTATTGGAGAATTGCGGCCTACAGTAGGACAAACACGAAACTCTGCGCGACGTAAAGAAAGTATGATGTTGTTAAACGCGACACACACAACGCGATGCTTCCGAGAAATATCGCTTCGACCCCTCGCAAACCCATGGAAATGTCGACTGCAAGAACCACGCACATGGCCCCTCGTAGCCCTCAAGCCTGTAGCCGGATGTCGCCGTCACCCCCCCGAGGCAGGCTTCTGGATGGTAGCACGCGAGAATGTCCTCGCTAGATTCGGTGGCTCGCCAGTACCCGCTGTCGATCGAGAGTGCTTCGAGGGTGATGTTGCCGCCGTCGCTTGTGGCATGCTCCATTACCTCTGTGCAAGCCGGAACCAGAAGCCCGTCATTGACGCATCCTTTGCACGTGACCTCGCATCCGCTGCACATCACCTCGAAAGGGTAGTCCGACTGCTGCCGGCCAAAGGGACGGAACGCATGGCGGTATTGATCAGGGATGTACATGGTGCGGTTTTTCTCGACGGTGCGGTGCGGTGCGGTGCGGTGCGGTGCGGTGCGGTGCGGTGCGGTGCGGTGCGGTGCGGTGCGGTGCGGTGCGGTGCGGTGCGGTGCGGTGCGGTGCGGTGCGGTGCGGTGCGGTGCGGTGCGGTGCGGTGTCCCTGTTACTGATCCAGTTGTAAAGTCCACTACTCAGGACCCTCGCGTGTCCATGTTGATACGGTAGACAACGAGCTTGAACGAACGCATCTACTTCTGCGTGCTTTTGTTTTAAGCAGAATCTCGATATTGGAAAAACCCTTGAAGTGCTCAACCCTGCAATTGTGAGTTTGATTTCCGTGTACGATGGATCCTACCAAGAGGTGTTGCTGCAAGAAGCGTAAATCCGAAAAACTGCGATGGAGATACCTGATTATGGGTGTGTGCGTGTTTTCACCTCATCCGTGTATTCTCGGCGCCAGTCTACCCCTTTCGGTACATGTTCGATGCACCAGCCAAGGTTTCTGGAGGAAATGAGTCGTTGGGGTTCTCTTGTCGCCACCTTTCCCTCTGCGGTTCTCGCTTTCATAATAAACGCGATACGGTTGCAACTGTTCACACGTTCTTGTGTTTCTTCCCACCAATGCCCCGTTCCACGCCTTAATATCAACGTTTTCACTTTGCTCAAAGGAGATTCGAACCCGCAAGCTAGAGAGGCTCAGGAGGTCACGAAGTTACAGTCTGGATCACTGGATCGATCTGGGAGAAGAATTTTCCGGGATGCGGTGCCCCATGCCTTGGAGGTGGTAATAATTCAGAAAAAAAGTGAATCTTTCGGAATGTACAACAACACCGATTTGATATGGTTTTGGTCACAAAACAATGCTCTCACGCAGCCTCCACCCCCGCCTATGTGTTTCTCGAAAACAATATCCTTTCCCTCTGACTACACGCCGGTATCGGAACACTTCCGACAAGTTCCCGCAAGTGGGAGGAGCTTTCATTGCGCACCTCTACAGCTAAAGGGTAGGACGGGTTCTTCAAAGCAACATCGTGTACCCTCTTAAGCAGAAGTCAACCGTAGCTGTTTTGCTTCCGGAAGAGAAAAAAAATTCATTTTCGATAACCCGGAGTCCAGCTTTCCAAAGCAGTTGTTTCCCGGAGGGGCCAGGGCCTGCTGTCGTTTCGAAACCTGCCCCCGTGCTCTCAAAACCAAGCAAGCGCTCAACGCGCAGCCGACGGTGCTCTCATAGATGCATGGTGTCCCGAGTAAGACAAAGAAGGGAATAATATAACTGAGCGCGGGCACGCCAATGCAGGGTCAAGTTATACACGGTACGTTTCGGATGTCAATGTCTCTCGAGACGTACAGCGAAAGTCCGCACCTGAATGAAGTCCAAGTACATTCTCGAGCGGCAGTCGAATCTGTTGCCAGAGAAGAAGGTATTTTCCATTTCCGAAATGTAGCCGATGTTGGACACGGCCGCCCCCTCTCCGTCGTCAGCCGTGTTTCCCACGAACGTGCAGTTGAAGAAATATTCCGAACCCGCTAGCCTCAGAGCCCCACCTGTCCCTGCTGAGTTGCCCTCGAAAATGCTGCCGTTAAAAGCGTCTTTTCCAGCCGCGCTCTCGATGGCTCCGCCTGTTGACGCTCCCTGGTTGTCGACGAATCGGCATCGGTCGAAAGTGGTAGGGTTGTCGACGCCGGACGGCTCAATCCCGCACCTGAACGACGACACAGCGCCTCCGATCTCAGCCACGTTAGAGGTAAAATTGACCTCAGTGAAGATCGGGCCGGTGTCGACGCCTGACAAGAAGATTGCCCCTCCCGCGACTCCAGCAGAATTGCCAACAAAACTGATATCCATGTTGAAGATGGAGTTCAAGGCAGCGTCTTCAAACAGCACGATCGCCCGCCCGTTGGTTGCGGCTGTGTTGTTGAAAAAGATGGTGGTGGCGTTCATCGTGATGTTAGACAGGATACCGTCGTTAGCCGACGATGCTGTGATCCCCCCGCCCTCAGATTGCGCCACGTTCGACGTGAATATGGTTTCCCCTGTCCAGCTAACGTTACAACTCAGAACAGAGGCAGCTCCTCCTTCTTCGCCCAGAGTACTATTAACCAGAGACAGAGCGCTGTTGCCGTTAAATTCCGCGGTTCCGGCCCAAGAGATGTAAGAATCAATGCAATCCAATGCCCCGGCACGACAAGAAGCGACGTTGCCGAGAAATGTCGCAGTGCCTTCTCCCCAGGATACGCGAGCACCTTGTGTCGCTGAAATGGCGCCGCCTCCGAACCCCACAAAATTGGTGTCGAACTCAGTTTCTCCGCTCCAAGATACTTCCGAGTCATCCACTCCCATAGCACCACCTAGCGAAACCAAGCTAACTCCAAAGTATAGTGTGAAATGCGTCGCTCCTCCACTTCACGACACGCTAGCACCGTCAGTCGCTGCTAAAGCGCAACCAGCGAGGGCATCGGTGGTGTCCCCTTGGCAATTATTGTAGACGAAATCTGTTGCCCCGCTCCAGGACACGTTAGACCCGATCGCAAGTAGGCCGCCCCCTCGACCAATCCTGCTAATTACGGAATCGTTGTAAAACAGTGTCGACCCACTCCAGGACACATCGCTTTCAAAAGCGTACACGGCACCTTCCGCGATGGCCCAGTTGCCCTCAATCGAGCTCGCGGTCCAGGAAACACTGGACTCCACCGCGTACAAAGCACCTCCGTGATACGCCCAGTTCTCCCGTATCCATGCTGCCTCTGTCCATGACACACTGGAACTGGAAGAAAACACAGCGGCACCATAGCACGCCCCGTTGTCCAACGCTGAAAATTTTCATCGGAGGAAGCGCTGGAACCCGATCGCACTATCAAAGCCCCACCGTAGTAAGCCGTGTTCCCGTGAAACCATCTGTCCGCCTCTCCTGCGCAAGGCACGGCTGAGCTTTCGTCGATGAACGCAGCACCACCACTCGATGCCGTGTTGTTCTGAAACAACGCCGCGGTGTCGCTCCAAGAGGCACTCGAGCCATCGTAGACCAGCAGAACTCCGCCTTGACCTGCGCTATTGGAATCGAACGTTGTTTCGCCGGTCCAGGAAACGCTCGAGCTGTTGCCTGTGGCCACAGCACCACCAAAGTAGTTGGCGCTGTTGTTGTAGAACAGAGTGGGCGCGTTCCACGAGACTCTCGAATCGGCAAACGCGTAAACCGCGCCTCCCCAATACCCCGCTGTGTTGGAGGCCAAGTCCACTTCTCCAGCCCAAGATAGTCTGGAACCATCGTTGATCATCATGGCACCTGCACTGTGGCCAGCCTCGTTGCTGAACCACAACCCACCGCTTGAAACCACGGAGTTGCCGGTGACAAACACGCCGCCTCCACTTGCGCCTGCGAAACTGTAGGCGAACATTCCCCCGGCACAGGACATGCTGGAGCCTTCGGACAAATAGATGGCGCCCCCATGGTCCGTAGCCGTATTCGTTATAAACATTGTCTCGACGAGGGTCAAGGTGGACCCTGCCACAGCTATGGCCCCACCCACCGTGCTACTTCCGAAGGCGATGGTGATATTGCTCAGGTGCAGGGCAGTGTCCCCAACGGTGAAGAGTCTCGTCCCTTCGTTTCCATGTATGACGGCGCCGGAGTCGTCGTCGTCAACGGTACTTGAGTCGACACCCGATATCGTGAGAACGGTACCAGCCCCGATCACGATCGGTATCTCCATGACCACAGTTCCTCTCCACTCCACCTGGAACGACCCCCCGGAGCAGTTGACGGCTGCGGCCAGAGCGTGCGCCTGCTCCTGTTCGTCCAACACCCACGTCTGCTGCACTTCCAGAGAGCAGGGTAGGGCCTCGGGCGATGGTTGACTGCACTCGTAAAACTCGTCGCCAGCACTGGGATCCAAGCATTCGGCGAGGCCCCCGCAGAGAGCGCCGCTGCAGGAACATATGCAGCACTTTCACACGAACCATGCAGGGTTGATCAGGACGGGCACGGAAAAGAAGGGGGAGAAGGGTTGGCAAGCGAGGAGTGAGGGTTCATCGGTCACTACGGATCAGGAGCCTTGTGGCGTTCCTGCTCTTGCTGCTGCAATGCGCTCCTACTCACCCAAGCAGCCACCTGTGTTGTTGACCTACGTAAGTTGTGTAGAGAATAGACCCCGCTGATACCTCCATCCACCACAAGTTTCGCTCCTGGCAAAGCAGGGCGCACGATCTACATTAACAATCGAAGACACTCACATCTCCCCCGTCGTATCCGCAAGCGGGGTTGACCACATCATCAATTCCCTGCACAAGGGCAAGGTGTTTTCCATTCTCGCTCTCAACTCCGCTTTCCACCAGACCACCGTAGAGGAGGACACGGTCCAGAGTACGGCGGTTTGTACGCCCACCCAATTTTTCGAGTGGCTCAGGATGCCTCGAGGATGTTCCGTTGGACAGTCGTGGTTCACCATGGCCATCAACGAAGTACTGTAGTTAAAGGTCTGGACCACGTGCTTGCATACCTAGACGAGGTGCTTGTGTCTGACGCCGACCCCGTCCACCCGTCCACCATATCGCCAATACACGTTTTTTAGCGCTTGCAGAAGTACAACCTCAAACTTTCTCCTTTCAAGAGTCGCGTCAGCGCTAATACATGTGGATGATTTATTTTCGATTGGAGAGGAGGCGAGGTGTGACCAATTTGGTAGGGACCTCAACACCATGGTACCGGTGAAGATCTTGATGACTCAAGGTGGTACTCTGGATGTTTTTATGAGGGGGATTGGGATGCAGGGACTTTGAAGATCTCGCAGCAGACGTACGCTGAAGAGTTGGGGATGGAGTTTGGGATAGAGTACGGGAAGGAAATTCCTCTTCCTGTAGGGTTGAAGCTTTCAGAGTTTGACCAGGATGAGCAAATGGTATCATGGCCTTTTCGCGAGCTGATAGGATCACTGATGTGGCTGGCAACGCAAACGAGGCCGATATCGCGAATGTTGTAAGAGCGGTAGCACGGGATTGTGCTTCTCCCAAAGAAATTCATTGGAGAGCAGGCCTTGGTATTTTGGGGTGTGTGGTAAGGACTAGTGACTTGGGGATTACATTCAGGAGGGGTAGTGTAGCGGGGTTGAGCAGGGAGGTGTTCGCAGACGCAGACTATGCAAGCAAGGCTGCCGATAGGAGGTCTGTGTCAGGAGGATTGGTGATGTATGGGGGGGGATGTATTTCTTGGTTTTCAAGGACGCAGAAGTGCGTTACGTTGAGCACGACAGAGGCGGAGTATGTCTCCCTTGCGGATGTGATGATGGAAGTGTTCAATGTTGTTTCTGAGGCAGGCATGGCGTTTCATGTTGCCAGAAGCAGGTATGCCGTGTTTTCTGGTGTTCGAGGATAACCAGGGCGCTATTCAGTTGGCGCAGAACCCGAATAGCAACAGTAACTCGAAGCGCATCGACGTAAGGCACCACTTTATCAGGGAATTGGTAGGCAGGAAGGAGATTTCGATTTTTCACGTGGAATCAGCGTATCAACATGCTGATTTCCTCACGAAGGCACTTCACGTCGGAGATTTTGAGTTCATCGTAATTTCGTGATGAGTGTTGGATAGGAACGGTGGATTTGGATATATTTGTGTTTGATCAAAGAACTAGGGTGGCATTGTTTTACATTTTTGCCTATGGTCTTGTCAATGAATGGTGTTCTAGGCTGGGGGGCAATTGGATCGCTATGATTATCGAAGAACTACAATATATTAATAGCCCAGAGGGCTATTGTTGCAGATTTGAGTTGTGTTTTGGATTATTTTTTTGTGTTTTGGAGTTACTGAAAGATCATGACGACTGGCATAGTCACAAGCAGGTTGGCTGATAGATATACTTGTAGCAATGCCAAGTGGTTGGTACTGGATGTTCCCATGGAATGAGGTAGAGCGGAATACCCACACGTGTTGCTCCTATAGAAAACACAAAAAAATATAGGCCGAAAAAGACATCGGGTACCACGCGCAAAACAAATATGTCTGCGGAGCCCCCTCTGCGTGCATGGGGTCACGCTCGTTGACACTGCTTTTTCAGCACGCCAGTAGTCGACGCTCAGGTGGAGGACGGAGACGAAACTGGGTAACAAGTTCAAGAATGTCACATCGTACATATGAGAGTCATTTTTTATGATGTGGATTTCCTTGGGTGGGAGAAAACCGAGTCGTTGACCTGAAGCCGCCTGGCGGCCTGTTTTGCGCCCCGTTGTTCCGCCGCTCTGGGAGGCGAACTTTGACAACAGGTTGACCCCCCGAAAAGTTGACCAAATGGAACAGCGCTCGGAGACTGGAGTGATTGATAAGCATAGACCTGATTTATCGTTTCTAGAATTTTGGATCAGCTTCGTGAAAGCCGAAACAGACCTTTGCGCGCCGGTGCCTCAAAACGCGGTGGAACTTCCTCAACCGACGCAGCTCTTACGGCCGGCCGTTGTTGTTGTTGTTGTTGTTGTTGTTGTCTTCACATTAATAACCGTTCCGATCTCTCTCTACCTAGTACCTTCGTATGTCCGTACTGATACAACACTCGACGCGGTCGATTCCCGTTGTCGCAGGCTAACTTACCCTTAAAATGTACACTCAAATAAAATGGCCCCGAGGGGTCCGCAAGTCAATAGAAATCAACGCCAGATATTCTGGAGTCCTCCACTCCCTCTGCGCGCTATGCGAGGTAACAACTGAGACTATCACCATCACGGGCCGGAGAGAATGAGGTACACCCCCTTGGTTCAATCTTGGTACTTCACAACGCAAGCAGAAACAAGGCCATCTGGCACAGAAAAAGAGAGAAAAAGAGAACAAGAGAAAAAGATAAGAACATAAAAGGAAACAGCAGCAAGAAAAGAGAAAATGAAATAAAAAGAGCGAGGACAAAAGGCGACCAGGCCGAAAATAACAAGAAGAGACAGAAAAAGGCACACGGTGGAGAGACCACTAACGACAAGCAAACACGCAAACATGGCCACCAACCAGCGTGAGAGCTATGGAATGATAATCTGCAGTCATTAACACTCTTCAAAATACTCCTGCTTTTGTCTAACCACTCTCGGTTTTATGTTTAACGATTCTGAATAGGTTTTATTCCATGTCGGCAACTGGGACCCGTTGTACCGCATGCCTCCGCGAAGGGGAAGCNTAAGAACATAAAAGGAAACAGCAGCAAGAAAAGAGAAAATGAAATAAAAAGAGCGAGGACAAAAGGCGACCAGGCCGAAAATAACAAGAAGAGACAGAAAAAGGCACACGGTGGAGAGACCACTAACGACAAGCAAACACGCAAACATGGCCACCAACCAGCGTGAGAGCTATGGAATGATAATCTGCAGTCATTAACACTCTTCAAAATACTCCTGCTTTTGTCTAACCACTCTCGGTTTTATGTTTAACGATTCTGAATAGGTTTTATTCCATGTCGGCAACTGGGACCCGTTGTACCGCATGCCTCCGCGAAGGGGAAGCTACTGGTTTCCGACACATGCGGCCAAGGACCAGCAACCAAGTTCGGGGTTTCGTAGCGGAGGTCGGTATCTCAAACCAGTTTCCGGCCTTGGACGAGGCGAATTGAGGCGTCAGCGCCCTCGTACTTTGTAAACGTCCGTCTTGCTTGTTGCAGCTGTACATGAGCACGAGCAAAGGGCTAGCAAGGACCGTAGTAAAGACCGGCGAGCGCGCAAGGCAGCTCGGACGCCTCACCATGCCAAGGTGTGGAGGACTGCTCCTGAACCACAAACGCACTTGAGGCGTCGATGGCTCGATAGGTACTGCACTTCGCCTGAGGCGGCGGATGCTTTGCTGGGTGCTGTGGATATCACGGGANTCGGGGTTTCGTAGCGGAGGTCGGTATCTCAAACCAGTTTCCGGCCTTGGACGAGGCGAATTGAGGCGTCAGCGCCCTCGTACTTTGTAAACGTCCGTCTTGCTTGTTGCAGCTGTACATGAGCACGAGCAAAGGGCTAGCAAGGACCGTAGTAAAGACCGGCGAGCGCGCAAGGCAGCTCGGACGCCTCACCATGCCAAGGTGTGGAGGACTGCTCCTGAACCACAAACGCACTTGAGGCGTCGATGGCTCGATAGGTACTGCACTTCGCCTGAGGCGGCGGATGCTTTGCTGGGTGCTGTGGATATCACGGGATGCGTTTTGGACATGTGCGGTGGGCCCACGGACGCCGTCGCGACCCGTCTTCGATCCGCGTGCAAGATACTCACGAACGACTTGAGCTTGGGGTAAGAGCGTTGTTCTTGTGTGAGTTGGCTTGAACGTACCCAGCAGCAGGAAAAATTTCTTGCACATAGATGGTCAGATAATAGTGCAAGGAAACACAGGGGTCAGCCGACAAAGGACCTCCGGGCAGCAGTTTTAATGTGGAAATCATACTGAAATGATTATAGTCAGGACTGTTCAGGCCCGACATGGCACGTGATCATCACGTTGTGCCGCAGGTACCGAGCAATACAAACGCGAATGCCACGTGTTTTTCATGGATACGAAATTTCGTCCCGCCTCTCTGTGAGTTTGCCCCGGGTATTTACCCCCCCCCGACATTAACAACCGTTGCTCAGGGACTAGAAGTTCCATGACTTGGTTTTTGGCTTTGGCTGTTGCCACATGTACCAAGTGCCTTGCAAGGGTGACGTCTACGTTTGACAGACAAGATTCCGTACTGCATGGCCTCAACCGCACAAGGTCGTGTGCCCTTTGACAGGCACGGGCCACGCTCCTTATAGCATGTTTGGGAGGCATCCTTCTCGAAGAGGGAGCGTCTCACACGTTTGGCGAAACGGCCACATGCTGGCGCATGGTTTTATTTTCCGTATCATGCGCGCCATCACTGAAATGTTTTTTGCTGTGGTTCTCGATGACAGGCGTCCAGCGGATACCAACCTTGACGCAAGCTTGGAAACATTCCCGGAAGACTTTCTCGCAGCTTACTCCGGGAAAGGCCTGAGTGGGTGGTGACGAGCCCTCAGTGCAGCAGGGCTCTGACGTTTGTCAAGGCCGCCATGTGGTTGGCGACAAAAGGCGTGGCATTCAAAATGCCCATTTCTTTACTGCAACCTTGCGACGACCGGGGTGGTTGACTGCAAACGAACCCCCCGTCTGTGTGTTTGTTTCTACGCAGAGAAAAACACGCATGCGAACAATGCGAAGATGGGCGAATTCTGGGGTGTGTGGTATACTCAGGAAGTGAGCTGCCGCAACGAGACGAGGCTTGTTTTCTGTCCTGAATAGTACGGGAGCAGTTGGGTAGCGAAATGGTTTTGTTGGGTTGGAACATATGCAAGGCGTGACGTCCCCGCAAAACTTATTTTTAAAAACATTGGTTGTGGGAGCAGATATATATGTGTGTTGAAGACATCTATTTCGGGGATGCGACATGATTATGCCCCGAGCGAAGTTGGCATGTGTTCGGGGCGTGCTCTAAGCAAACAAGCAAACGTATGGGTTTGGCCGTATCGCGTGCACGTAATGAGTTCTGGTGTCATGTTTTTGTTTTGATTGCACTAAGGCGTTTTCGCGGCATGACTCCGGGCTTGCTCTTGAGCGTGTGCATTGCCTAGCGAAAAAAAACGGAGGTCGATTTTATTTAATCCTTGAAGTAAGGGCCAGGACCAGCACGTGGGCCACCATTCATGCCGTAATCTCGAATGTGTGCTCATGCAAGCCCCCACAAACGTTTCGCTCACCGCCACACGAACAACAAATCGATTTCTCAAATCGACCTTTCGTTAGTCCCAGCACTCACGAGATTCAACTGTTGTCCTACATGATGCCGCCACGCGTTTCCCTCTATCTGCTCGTACTCTTCAACGTCATCCTCCAAAAAACTACCTAAAACCACGCCTCCACTCAAACCCGACTCGGCGTCCCTGGTCGAAGAATCAAACATACCCGGCAACTGTTCCTCGTCGCTGTCGCTGTCACTATCTTCATCCATGTCCACTAGCCCTCCCTCAGCTGAACGATCTTCCTGCATATCGCTTTCTTCCGTCTCTTCCTCGCGGCATGTAAGCTTGCACTGGCACAACTCTGAGCATTGGCCAAAAACTTCAGTGATGCACACGCAGCTTGTGCATTGACCCCCTCGCTTCCTCTTCCCAGNGTCACCATCTTCATCCATGTCCACTAGCCCTCCCTCAGCTGAACGATCTTCCTGCATATCACTTTCTTCAGTCTCTTCCTCGCGGCATGTAAGCTTGCACTTGCACAACTCTGAGCATTGGCCAAAACCTTTAGTGATGCACACGCAGCTTGTGCATTGACCCCATCGCTTCCTCTTCCCAGATGGACACGTGCACCTTACCGTTTCAAATCCACCCGGCCAAATAGTAACCTTAGGGAACCTGCGCATCAACATCATACAACCACCTTCAACCTCCGTATTCTCGATGTACCCCATCCCGTCCCATTTTGGCTTTTTGAATGGGGTACCTGGCGGAGACGTCCGAACCTGGAGAACCACTGGGCACAACGGAAAGCCAGTATTTTACCAACCACGACATCCGGACAACGCANGGTTCAAATCCACCCGGCCAAATAGTAACCTTAGGGAACCTGCGCATCAACATCATACAACCACCTTCAACCTCCGTATTCTCGATGTACCCCATCCCGTCCCATTTGGGAACCTAAATGGGGTACCTGGCGGAGACGTCCGAACCTGGAGAACCACTCGGCACAACGGAAAGCCAGTATTTTACCAACCACGACATCTGGACAACGCAAAGCTCGGTGGCATCGTAGTTCGGGGCGGCTTTGCTGAGGTTCCCGGCACCGTACCATTTTTCAGCAGTTCGCCCCTGAATTGCTTGTACCCACTGCCTCGTATCATCGACCTCCCCTTCCCGTTTATCTCGCGTGACNATCAGCAGTTCGCTCCTGAATTGCTTGTACCCACTGCCTCGTATCATCCACCTCCCCTCCCCGTTTATCTCCCGTGACTTGATGCCCCGGTAACGCGTTAGCAAACAAACTTTTGGTCTTGACGAAGTACGCAAGCGCAACAAACTTGACCTCTCCAAATGAAAACCGGTGACCACCCCATCCTCTGTTATTTCGCTGCCCAGGGCCTTGACAAATTGGTGGTTTTCGGGATTCTTCGCTAACTCGAAGTATGACTGGAACATGTAAAAATGAGTCAAGCTAATAAACGTAGGAGTAAAGTCAGTACCGTTGAGCATGTGTGATGCAATCACGTGCAAGCACCTCTGCAAATCGGTGAACGAATGCGGCCAACTCCCCATTTTGGTCAGGGCCTCGAAAAGCTCAAGTACGTCGATGTAGTTAACGGGGACTTGATCATTCAACCCGCTCTGTTGTCGCACGATCACTCGAACTCTTCGAATGTACAGGTAACGGGCACACGCGAGAAGGGTCGCCACCCAAACGTCCGTGTCGACAGATACCACCTCCACCCGAACGGGTGGTGTTCCCCCTTGTCCCTCCTGGTTGATCTCGGAGCTACTACCGTCACCCTCCCCCGTCAGCGGCCTCTGTATTTGACCGACCAGGTAGGCGTGGTTTAGTGCCTGGAGTTCGCCTTCCCCTATACCGTTCCCCGTCACCAATAACAAAACCGTCTTTGTCGTTGTGCCACGACTTCAAATTCGTTGTCTCCAAAAATTCTTGGGATAGGATGGGCTCACCGTCGATCCGCAACCTCAAGTTTCCCAGACAAAGCTCCGACCACGTCATAGCCGTGTTGTTGGGCTTTTTGGCGCGTACACTTTCGAACTCCCCACGAATGAACTGACATAACACCGAAAAAACGCCGTCACGGTGCTGACGGTTCTTCAGGAAGTCCCGCCACTTACCCCGAGGTGGCGTGCGATCATCTAACCCAAACCGCCACTCTTTCTCCTTGCACAAGGGCTCATGAGGCTTTTTCCGTGCCCCCTTCGAACTGGGATACAGCCCCCGCTTATTGTGGGCAAAGCTCTTGGGCTTTGGCACCCGACTCCGCTTGTCGAAATTGAGAGTTACCTGCGCGGAATACAGGTTTAGCGCGGGACATGGTGAACCAACCACACATACTGCAGGGACAATTTTTCTGCGACCGTACACGTGTCAGCGGAGAGCTGGCACACATAGTCCGCATATATGGAACTTGCTGCGTGCCACACACTGCTGCACACACGTTGAGCCACCGATGCAAGAATGGGAAAGCAGGCAAGAGGAAAATACCTGGTCTCACAGTAGTCGGTGTAAACAACTACAGTACTGGGCCCGCTATAGTGCCGACATGTGCCCAGAGATAATATCGGAACTATTGAGGGCACCGGCACTAATCAGAATAGTGCCTCAATAGTGCCGATTCGGCACTATTGAGGTTTCGAATATCCCTCAATAGTGCCGGTCCGGCACTATTGAGGAGATGTTTGATTTCATGCTGTGGCGCTCATGCGTTGCGGGGCTAACAGAGTACGAAATGGATCAAAGTTAGTGAAGGTCTATCGTGGGCGTAGGCATCCTTTCTCGCGACAAGTATGGTTCCCCCCTGTCGCACACACAGAGGGCGAGTTGTAAAAAATATTTACTTGCATGTTGCACCGTTACTTTCTGCCTGCCTCAGCGCATGAANTTGCATTTTGCACCGTTATTTTCTGCCTGCCTCAGCACATGAACTGTACTGCACACCCTGAACTGTCGAAACTGCTGTTGACGGCAAGATGCTTGTTGTGTTGTCCCGTTCGTACAGAGTGGACGTAGCTACATCTCAGCCCAGCCCCTCCTTCGATGTTGCAAGATACAAAAGACAAAACAGAAAAAGAAGCACGACAGGAAGCGCACTGCAAGAAAACAAAAATCAATACTACTGCACTACAGTTGTATCTCCCCCCCAAACTACGTCGCGACACTGGAGTGTCTGCCTGGCGTACCCGCTTCGATGTTGCAAGAAAAAAAATAAAAAATACAAGTACATGACAGGAAGCGAACCGCAAGAAAAAGAAACAACCATGAACTCTACGTCGCGACAAATCCTCTAATGTCTGTCTGGCGCACCCGCCTAGCGGAATGCGCTGCGATCATCGACACCTTCGCTTTCGTTAGGTAGAACGCCGCGTCTCCGTTGTCACTTTCCTCTGCTGCCACTTCCAGGGCGCCGAAGTGAGACGACAGTTCTTCATAACCCGGTGGCGCACGTGGGGCACGGCGCTCGCGCCCCGTGTTCTCACAGCCGCCGCCCTGGTCCTGTTCGTCCTCCTGGTCGTCACCGCCGGTAGACAAGTTCGTTCCAGCCAGCAGTGCTGTCATGTCTTCCACCGCGTCCAATCGAAGAGCCTCTACCACCTCCTCGTCGTCCTCGATGGTAGCCCACCCCTGAATCGCGGCCACCGCTTCCCCCGCAACCGGCTTTCCGGGTTCGATGTTGAGTTCTGCCAACAGTTCGCTGATCTCCTCGTCCACGACACGGGATCCCTGCTTCTGCGCGTCCTGCACGCTCGTGCTCAACGTGTTGACAGTCTCTGCTAGAGCCTTCAGGTCAGGCTCGGCGACGTTGAACCGGATCTTTCCGTGTTGCTTGGTGAGCTCAGCCGCCATCTCCTCCGGAAGCGTCGACTTTGACAAAGCACCTGGCCAGGGAGCGCAGAAATTGTGATGCATCCGTGTTTGGGTGGAGAAGCGATGTTAGACGAACCCAGTGACAATGACTCATAGGGATGCGAGAGAGGGCCTTTTTTAGCAAAGAAACAAGGCGATTTGCGGTTGCGGGAATATTCAGTCGAAAAATAAAACCTATCCGTACAACCTTACCCACGTAACGTACCACCAAAGCCATGCGCACTTGCGCGAGCTACACATTTCAAACGGCGGTATCACATGTTCAAACCTCACCTGGCAATGTCTTGGGCGGTGACGCTCGCCCATACTTTCTGGAGAAGTTCAGAGGCGTCCCGCACGTGAGGTTGGTGCCCTTGCGCTAGCCCCATTGTCCCGGCCTTCATCTTGCCGGCATTGGCCTGGGCGCGAAGTGTGTCAGCCACCAACATTTTTGATGTCTTCACATCGAGCAGCTCCTTCCTGTAGTTGACCTTCGTCTTGGCGACGACCCCCAAATCCATGGGTTGGTGTACGGCGGTGCACAGCGGAGGGTAGGTCTTGACATACACGCTGCCGCAATTGCCGTGGGGCCGCCCGCCACATCCTCCCTTGAAGGGTTGGCCATGAGGGGGTTGCGGCGTCCTGTCTTGTTGAAGGCACAGTTCACCTTCCGCACAAGGCATGGTGCGCCTCTGCGTAGAACTCTTCGGGTCTGCAGCAGCACGTGTACCCTCTGTGTTGCGTGTGTCCGCTGTCTTGTGTGTGTGTTTTTATAATTAGCATCGACCGCGCTAACCGGCTGACCAAAGAAAAGACGCCAGTCTTAGTGCGGTTGAAAACAAAAAACACTTCTATCTACCATGAACTGGGACCGCGGTCGATGCAAAGTGTGTGTGTGTGTGTTTTTTTTTTATTATTAGCATCGACCGCGCTAACCGGCTGACCAAAGAAAAGACGCCAGTCTTAGTGCGGTTGAAAACAAAAAACACTTCTATCTACCATGAACTGGGACCGCGGTCGATGCAAAGTGTGTGTGTGTGTGTTTTTTTTTATTATTAGCATCGACCGCGCTAACCGGCTGACCAA